GGGTACCATTATCACGGTAGGGGGTATCGTGTCACTCCAAGAGAGACGTGCCACAGTACAGTCACTTGGTTGCTGCCGATACCTAGGTACCGTTGACACGGTAGTTAGGTCTTGTATGGCCTTAGGCATTTTTGAAAACTTGATTTTTTGTGTTCTTTTTTCAAAATAACCCCAACAAAGAATATGTTTGACACTTTAGAAATAACATTTGAGTAAAAGGGCATAAGTATATCATTAAATATATATAACTACCTTTACACAAATGTTTCTAAACACGTAGGAGTACATGTGGTGATGCTAATCAAGTTAGAGAGGTTTGGCGTTTGATTTCTTCCTTCAAATAACGTTAGTAACATATGGAAGACTTATTTTGCACATTAAAACGGTTACGGGATACAACATTCAAGGCCAACAATCTTCCCCTTTTTGATGTTGACAAATAAGGCTTTCTAATATAATTAACAAACGCACAAACACATTATGAAGGCATAATTCACTACTAGAGAATAGTTATTTTACACAGCATTTTACACACCGGAAAAATGAGAAGTGATGTTGTTTGTTTACAATAGAAAACCGCGCGCATAGAAAAAAAAGAAGTCGCGCATCATTTAAGTTTTATTCCTAAAACAGCGGATAAAAACAAATGCGTTGTTGAATTTAGACAACCTCGTTTCATACCCGGCCCAGCCCTTAGCTTTTCACTACAATACTCAATCCTTCCATCCTACCGCTCCCACACACAGGAAATACAAACCTACCAGCGGCGCGCAGACGCTCCCTCACCATCACCACCGGATCTTCAGCCACATATTTCCTGGCAGTGAACTCCCTCTCCAATGAACGACCCTAATGTACTCACCAGCAAACTCCTTCAACATCTCCCTCAAGCCCTCGCCCAAGGATTTCTCACAAATTGATTTCAAAGGACCCCCCCTAAGTTGATGCACTTAGGATTTTGACAAAAGCTCTCGCTAAATACATGCATAGGAAAGCCTAATCTCTCTCCCCTTTTGGCAACTTTCAAAAAGGTGGGGTAGGAAAAATTAATAGACAACCCATAGGCATTCAAGAAAGCACAACCATAGCCATTTAAAATGAGTTTGAAACATAATATCCA